CACATTTTGATCTGACGCTTGCGTCGGTGGCGCTGCCGTGAATGTTCAATACGAGCGGGAAGGTGCCGAATGCGGTTACTAGCGATCATCGACCGATCACGTTCTGCTACGACGTAAATGAGGATGGAAAAAGACAGCCGGGAACGTAAAGGTTCAATGTCCGGAAGCTGCCTGGTCGTTGCCAGCGTCTTCAAGTTGAGAGATCAATGTTTGACACAACTGCGCGGGCTAGAGGGGACATACATCTGAGCGGATTACCCAACTTCGGCCTTGACCAGCATGTAAGAAGTCGATGTTGAAGGACAGAAGCCTGCGGATCAAGATGCCGACGTGGTCACGGAGAACGGAGACCGAGCGGACTATCACAGATAAGACGGAAACTGTGTCTCGTGCTGTGGAAGAAGCGAGGAAAGCGAGTCAGCCGCACAAGAGATTTACTATATAAATAAGGGCCACAGGAGGGAGAAAAGAGCAGGACAAGGACCTGGAGGAAATTACTACTGAGGTGGGTGAATGAGAGACCGAGCGGGGTCCGTCACCACCGGTGGTTTAAAGAAGGAGCGAACACCGACTCACGGGTGTGCTGCAATCTCCGAAGGAGGGGTGGGTGATAACATGCACCGACCAGCATACCGAAGTATTGCCGATCCCATCCCCGACTGAAACGTAGGCGTCGTCCCCGTGTTACAGCAGATCATGTTTCCCGACATGATCATGTCCTCTACCTTCTCCCCTTTCGCGTCTGTATGTGTGTCATTCCAAAGTGTTGATCTGGCGTTGACATCACCCCCAATGAACCAGCCCGCACCCTCCAATTCTCGGACGACTTCTTCCAGCCTTTCGACATGGATTTCGGTCGGTTCCGAGAACTGGAAGTACGCACTGCCCACGTAGAAGTTTTGATCCCCGCTTCGAATCTCCACAATCACCAAATGAGTCCCGCTAAACTGCGTCATCAGTGTTACCCCCAAATTTGGGTTCACAACTAATACCGCCGCCGCTGGTTTCACACCTGGTGAGGAGCCGGTTATTAACCGCAGTGGTGATTTGCCGAGATTGGCAAACGTCCCAGCTCCGGTTACATACGGCTCCTGGATCAACACAACATCCAGACCCCTTCTCCCTACCTCGGACAGCAGGTCATCTGTTGCCAGTTTCCCCCGTCCCAGGTTTACCTGTCCTACTCTTACTATGCCCATCTAAATTTCCGGGCTTCCCGCCGGAAATTTACCTCCCACGTATGACACTTTGAGGTGTCACCCGAGACGTGACCACCCAGATGGCAAAATAATATTCACATAATATTGTGTGGATATTTCTTGACAAACGTTGTTATTATCAGAACATTTGTACGTGGTTGTCAGAAAATTTTTAAATATTATCACAATATTATTAGTACACTTTTTGGCAGAAGATCAAACATTGTTAGAATATTTCACTCATATATTGTTACAATATACACGACTTTTTTTGCTACAATATTAGCATAACAATATTGTACTATTATTCTATTTAAAAATTGTCAAAATATTTCACAAAAATATTGTAAAAATATATTATGTTTCTCTTTCTACAATATTATCACAACAATATTGTAGTATCCTTTTACTTAAACATTTTCAAAATATTGCACCAATATGTTGTTACAATATTATAATATAATGTTTTTATTTTTATAACAGCTAGTATATATGTTACGGTAAATGATGTTATATCAGAAATTAACGTTATTCGCCGGTTATTAACGTTATTTACCTACGAATGTGGGAATTATCGTTATTTTCTAGTGAATAACGTTAATAACCGTATGCTTTGGGAAATTTTGATCTGATTATAAAATAAAAGAGGTTATTGCGGAAGATTTAAAAAAATAACCAAAGAACCAATCATCAAAGAAGACAAAATCGGAAATTAAATCATAGAAATCGCAGAAAAAAATTCGGAACTTGGTACTTAAATATTTTTTAATTATTTAACGATAAATTTCCGAATTTTAAATATAACAAAAATAAAACTAAAATATAAATATTTGAAAATTATTTTAAATATTTTTTTGATGATTGTCAAGAAAATATTTGTATTGCATGTAAAAATTCAAAAAAAAATTTAGAAAAACAAGGAGAGGAAATGATGAAATTTTCTAAAGAAAAGTTTCCTCAGCTTGAAATAGGCTTAACTGTATGTGTATTTATACCAAACGTTGATAGAGCTCGTGGTTCTATGCAAAATATACTATTAGTTGTCACTCAAGTTGAACATGATTTATACAAACTCTGTAAGTTAATTCTTAATGAAAAAATATACTATTAAAATAAAAATTGGTTTTATTATTTTATAAATACGGAATATAGTTTTCTTAAATATTATTTCACATGCCAAAAATAGCTGTTTGCAAATAAAATCTATTAGACATGGACAATGTGATAAAATTAGCAGATGGTAGACAGTTGACACTAAGGGAAGTAGCTAGTAATAATTCGGTTGCGAGCCCTCGAAGGTACCAGCGTTGTCATTGCAAGACTAGTTGTAATAATAATAAGCATTGTGCTTACCTCGGGGCTGAAAAATTATGTTATATTAAATGTCATGGGAGTAAAACTTGTAAAAATAAATAAAAAATAATAATGCATTTATTCTATTTTTAAAAATATCTGGGTACTTACATAATTTTTCAAATTGTAGTATTTGAGATTCATGCGCTTATCTGATTTATAACATCAATTACCTGTGTATTTGGTCATTAACGTGATTATCCAGTTTATAACGATAATTACCTGTATATTTGGTAAATAACGTTAATAACCGGTGAATAACGTTAATTTCCATTTAACATCATTTACCGTAACATATATACACATACAGCATACGCTCTTTACAAGTAATATTTCACTTTATTTACTTAGTAACGATTATTTCAAAATTTGTATACTCACGACCCACACAAAATCTTGATAAAATGATTCACCTAAACATTACTATATAATTAAGCCTTATGTATTTCTCATTGATATACCTAAATTATACTGCATTATTAATAAGTAAATAAATAAATACTTTTTAAATAAACCTTTTATTCGTTATATAGCTGATAATGATATGAATTGAAAAATTTTAAAATAAAATAAAAATCAAATACAAAAAAAAAAAATAATAAACATCATGACGTGTCCCACATTAAATATATGTATGTAATGTATATGTGTATTATACATAAATAAAATAATAAAGCATAAGAAAAAATAATACAAAATAATTATATCTCCATATTAGAGATTTATTATTAAGCCTGCTAGCTATGTATTTAAAATAAATACAATTAAATATAAAAAAAAAATAATAAACATTATGTGTCCCACATTAAATATATGAAAATACATAATTAATATAAAATAATAAAACATAAAGAAAAATAATACAAAATATTTATCTCCATATTAGAGATTTATTATTATGCCTAGCTATTTAAAATAAATACAATCAAATAAAAAAAAAAAATAATAAAATAATAAACATGTGTCCCACATCAAATATATGTATAATGTATATTATATATATGTATATACATAAATAAAATAATAAAGCATAAGAAAAAATAATACAAAATACTTTTATATTTACGTTTAGAGATACCTATATAGTTATTAATGAAAATTAATAGTTATAAGTTTTATAAATGGCCACTAGTGGAACAAATATTTTTAGCTGCTTGTTTTTTTAAGCGAGACGGAGCTTGAGCTAACCAAAGTTCTATTGGTTTTTTTATTTCTTTGAGTGGAGTATCCCGAAACTTTTTCATCTTATTTACGGATTCTGCCAACAGAATTACTCAGTTACAAAATGTCAAAGCATTTACTAACAAAGTATAAAAGATGGATTTTAAAAATTACTTACCAAATATTAAGCTACAACATTGCAGAGTGGAAAACTGATGTTTTCCTTTAAATCCTATATACGAGTAATTTGAAAGAAACTTATCAGAAAATAACTTCTGCATAATTTTTCTGATTGTTTCTGATAAGGAATCTCCAACTAGTCGATTTAATGTTACTATCTGAAATATTGGTTCAATGCCAGTTATTATAATAAAAATAATATATTCAATTATAATAAATAAATCATGTACATTATTACAACTTGGTTTTTATAAGATTTATCTGTGGTCAGCTTTTCTTCCATTAATTCCAGTTGATTATCATTTTCAATGCAAATAATCTCATGAAATACATCTGAATCCCAGATTGATGAGTGATGGGTAGATGGATTAGACAATTTTTCAAAGTAGCTTTCTAATAGCTCACGGAAAGAATCTTGTCTTTTTTGGATGGACTCAATTTCATATTTTATATTGGTTAGGCTTCTGGTTACAAATTTTTTGAATGCTATAAATAGTACAATAAACATGTAAGTGATGCGTATAATATATTTACATAAATTTAACTCACATACTCATATGCTTATGTATATAAAATAATATGGTAAAAATAAAATGGAAATATTCATGGTTTGTTCTTAATTGTTTATTAATAAGTGATCATCAATGAAAGTAAAAATAAAATACTCATATTCCTTTTTCTTGAACTTCAATTTCTAATTTCTGAATAATTTTTAGTTCAAGATTATATAATTGAATTTAAAAAAATAAGCCAAACAATTTTTGGGATTTAATATTTAAAAAAAGAGATGCTTTTATTTTAGAATCTAAAAATGTGTATGAAATTTACTTTGTTTTTTTTAACTGGTGTTCTTCATATTGTAAAATATTTTATTTAGGTATTGTTTAGAAATTATAAAACACCACATATAATATACCGCCTACAATGATTTTTGAAAAGTATTTATGTATAATTATATATCACAATAATGAAACCGTTAAAATTATTTTTACCTTTATCACTTTCAAGTTCAATAGAAGGGGATAATATTGTTGATGTGCTTGTAGATATTTTAGTTGTTGGTACTTCAGGTGTTGTTGATTGGTGAGTTGAATTGGTAGAAATGTTATGATGAAATATTTTCAACTTTTTATTGGCAGTTCCTGATATTTCAGAAGTTCCCTCAGTGGATGTTTTCTTATGTTGTTTGAATTGCGGAGTTTCAACGTTTAATTTTGATTTTAATGTTGTATCATTAAAAATACAGTTACTGCTTTCGTCAGAACTTGAAACGGATTCATTTCTTGCCATAGTGTATGACTTATCTTTATCAGAATTATCATTAATATTAAATAAGTCTTCAGATTCTGTAAAATAGGTTATATATAGGTTATATAGGTAGGTTAAGAAAAAGTAATATGAATGTATACTGTATAGTGTATACTAGTGTGTACTACTATTATATTGAGTAGAGTACAAGATTTTTTTTAAACTTTTATAACAATAATGATCAAACAATTTTGAACGAAATTAATGCCTATATAATCTATAAATATGTTTATAAATCTTGAGCAACTTACTAATTTAAACTATAGTAATATGTATACTGTATTAATAGCCTAGCTATTATCATACATAATACAATTATAATTATAAAAATAACAATGATAATAAATAATAAATAGTAAATACAAATGTTAAATATTACCTTCAGAAATATGGCCAGGAGGACTTGGATAATTAACAGGTTCATTTGCTTTATAAACTGATTTAGGTTTTCGAATCCTTTTTAAGTTAGTGTTTACATCAGGATTTTCATTGGATGATATCCCAGAATTATCTTGAGCTACTGATCGAGCTTCTAAAAGATTAGCTATAAAAAAAAACATACAGTTGAAGGTTTGTTAATAGTTATAAATATACATACTATATTTAGTTTATATTATATAGTAACTTAATTTTACAAAACAATAATTACACAATAAAAATATAAATCATTACCTATGTCTGTGTGTAGAACCTTTGCTTTAAAATGTGTAAACTCCAATTCATTTGGATTTACACGGCGATCAATATATTTCTGGAAAGACCTATTTGGCCACGCACAATAACCATCACGATACCAAAACTTAGGCACAGCTGCAACTGTGTTGTCTTCAGTAAAACATACTACACTCCACATATTTCTAAGATAAAAGTAAAATACAATTTTTTTTACAAACTTAAGCATAAGTATTACATAAATATAAAAATATAATAACAAAGATATTTGTACAATGCTTTTTTATCATTAACACATTACTAGTACACAAATTACAGAAATTATTATATATACCATAATACCTACATATATTAATTATTAAAACCTTAAAAAGAGATGAGATACATAACTTTACCCATATAACTAATTTTAAATTATAAACACAAATATATATAAATAATTATGAAAAAAAACATTTTATAATTAGGTAGGTACAATAAGATATATATTTAAAATAAAAAAAATAAATACTTATTTCAATATTGGCAGAGCCAACAATTTACCATCCATATTAAAAATCATAATTTTTTTTTTAATATCTGATATACGCCATTGCATAGAGTTTTCAGATAAATTTTTAACAACATATATATCTAGTTTTGATGATTTTATTGGTTTTTCAAACATATCACTTTTGCTATTAAATGATTTCCCAACAATAACTGATGAATTCGATAATATTTCAATAATTTGCACTATTTCACCTGCACTAGTTAGTATAAAACAATCTGGTTTCTTAACTGTGAATGTATTATGATCATGATTTCCAAATTTTATTTTGTCATTAATATAGATCTCATCATAACGTTTAATTATTTGTTGTAATGGTTTATCATGTTTTCGAATCATTCGTTTTAAAACTTTCATGTAGTTCTCGAAGGGAAAACAGCTACAGTTATCAAGAGGCCCATATTTGACATAATCATCAACTACAGTAAAACCTCGTTAAGACGCTCTCGAAGGGGAAATCGTAAAACACCGCGCAATATGCGGGATAGCGTTATAGGCGATATCCCGCCTATTACACTCTTAAAAGCCCTTATAGGCGATACACATATTAAAAACGTTTAATGTGATAATATCTTCATAATACATGAATGGTAAGTGAAAATGTTCATAGTGTGACTTTGTTATGTATTACACAATGTACAAGTTGTATTTAAAATTAATAATAAAAACATCAAATATACATACAATAAAATTATTAGGAACATATTTTATATTATGTATTATTTTCTTGATTAAAGAGTAGTAACGTTGGTTGTTTCAATACATTATTTTATATTTATTCAATGAAATTTTCCACCTACTAGATATGAAGCATGTTTTCAGAATATCAGTTTGATGAGATTACTGTCTCAGTAGCAGATATTGATTGTACAGTACAGCGATTGACGAAGTGGTGGAATGTATTCAGCCATATCATCACTTGGCTCATCTGGTTCATCATTTTTGTAGCCTGATTGATAATTTCTTCAAGTTCCTGAATACCTCGTTCGTTATTAATTGATTAAGTCAATGGATGTGTAGCCTGGATAAACCTCCTCAAGTCCCATTAAATCTGAGTCCAAAACGTGAGATTAATATTGTGAGACCGTTATCAAATAGCTTTGGTAAACAGTTTTAACGCTTCTGGTTTATCTCTGTCCCACAAGGTGAAACATAATGAATAACATCTAAACATTGATTTTGGGATTTCTGCATCGGTCACCGATTCATTTCAGTAAATACCGTTGAACTAATTTCTTGCAGTATTTCTGTTTCGCTTTGATCACCTTGATCAAGGGGCTGAAGCTTACTCTAACAGCATTTGGCGGAAAACACAAGTTTGATATTTGTAAAGGTTATTTCTTTCGGATGAGCAGGGCAATTATCGACAAATAAAGGATGTTCTTTCTGTTTAACAGACTCGCAGTTGAGCTGTGAACCCATTCAATGAATAAACTTCCAGTCATCCACGCACGGTTTGAGCTTTATAATCACGGTAAAGTGTGTACATTTTTAAAACATCGGGGATTTTCGATTTGCCTATTGCCAAAGTTTTGACTTGTCGGTTCCAGACCAATTTGAGCAGGGTTAAAACTTGGTAATGGCTAAATCAAAATCCCAAATGTTTAAATAACACACTACCGACTCGATATAACTCCAAACTCCGGCTCGTGGTGACTAGGCTTCGTGGTCGATTCAGCTGCTTTCAACACAATTCGTCGGCGCT